ACAGAGACACCAGTGATGTCATGGGGGTATTGGGGAGAGTGGTGACGCAGGGGAGAGTGGTGACATTACAGGGACAGCAATGACATCATTGTGGACCAGTGACATCACAGAAGACTGGTGAAAACAAAGGAGCAGCTGTGATCTCCCAAGGACATCAGTGACATCACTGGGGACATCGGTGACTTCACAAGGACAGGGGTGACATCACAGAGACACCAGTGACATCGTCAGTGACACTAGTGCCATAACAGATACATTGGTGACATCATTTGGGACCAATGACATCACATGGGACTGATGACAACAAAGGGACAGCTGTGATGTCACACGGCTATTGGTGACATCACAGGGGACAGGGGTTACAAGAGAGGGGACAGAGGTGACCTCACAGGGACATCAGTGACATCATTGGGGAAAAGTGACATCACAGGGGACTGGTGACAACAAAGGGACAGTCGTGATATAATGTGGACATCAGTGACATCATTGGGGACATTGGTGACTTCACAAGGACAAGGGTGGCATTATAAAGACAGCTGTGACATCATCAGAGACATTGGTGACATCACAGGGAACAGTGGTGTCATCACAGGGACAGCAGTGACATCACTGGGGACCAGTGACATCACAGGGGTCTGGTGACATCACAGGGACATCGGTGACATCACGGGGATATGGTGCCACCACTGGGGACAGTTGTCACATCACAGGGAGAGCAGTGACATCACTGAGGACCAGTGACATCACAGGGAATTGTAAAAACAAAGGGACAGCCGTGATATAACGTGGACATCAGTGACATCATTGGGGACATCGGTGACTTCCCAAGGACAAGGGTGACATCACAGAGACACCAGTGACATCATTGGTGACACTGGTGGCATCACAGTGACATCTATGATATCACTGAGGACCAGTGGCATTGCAGGGGACTGGTGACCACAAAGGGACAGCCATGATGTCACAGGGACATCAGTGACATGACAGAGGTCTGGTGAGAACACAGAGATGCCAGTGACATCACAGGAACATGGTAGACCTGCTGGGGACAATGGTGACATCACAGGGACAGCCGTGACATCACTGGGGGCCAGTGACATCAGAGGGGACTGGTGACAACAAAGTGGCAGCTGTGATCTCCCAAGGACATCAGTGACATCAGAGGGGACAGCGGTGACTTCACAGGGACATTGGTGACATCACAGTGACAACAGTGATATCACAGTGGACAGCGGTGACATCACAGGGACACCACTGACATCACAGGGGACAGTGGTGACACCCGTGAGGACAGCAGTGACATCACTGGAGACCAGTGACATTACAGGGACTTCGCTGACATCACAGGGACAGCGGTGACATCATTGGGAACAGTGGTGACTGTTGCTGTTATGCCGTGGTGGTTCAATAAAAATCACATAGAAGGTTGATTCAGGCCTCCTTTATTAAAAATCCCAGCTCCTTTCAGATCATTGTCAAAAAGCAGCAAGCAAGTAGCAAGCAAGTAGCGAGCAAGTAGCAAGCAAGTAGCGAGCAAGTAGCAAGTAGCAACAACACCCTAATTGGCCACTCATCATTACTGATACACTTGGCAGCAATCGTGAGACACCTGGAGATGCCCAAGGACAAGGTTGTGGTTCTCACCTACCGACTTGAACAAATTCATCACTTTTAGGCACTAGTTCTTGATTTAGAACCGAAAATGTGGCTCCAGTGTCGACCCAAAAGTCTAATTCTTTTTCACCTTCCCCTTGCTCCATTTTAACCAGTGGGTCTGCCAGGGAGTGACTCACTGGTCCCCCTCATTCCCTGGTCTGATGAGTGATGACAGTCCCTCCTGGGTTCCCATTTGCCAAGGTAGGGCAATCCCGTTTCCAGTGTCCCTCCTGCATGCAATGAGCACATTGATTTTGTCCCACTCTTACTTGTTGAAAAGGTGAGCCCCCTCTTCCTCGCGTTGCCTGTCCTCTGCCATGACCCCTAATATTTGAATTCTGAATTAAAGCAGCAACCACAACCTTTGTAAGTTTTCTATCTTGTCTTTTCTCCCTGTTGTTGTGCATTTTCCAGGTTTCATTCATTAACAGTTCTGAATCTTTATTGGAAGGATAATCAATTTTCTGTAACCTTTGTCTAATATCAGGGTTACTTTGTCCCATTAACAACCCCACCAGTTGCTGTTTACCTGTCTGTGATGAAGGATCCAGGGTAGAGTGTTTTCTCCTGGCAGCTCTAAGTCTGTCTAAGAATGCCGTGGGGGTCTCGTCCCATCCTTGCCTTACATCGTACAAGGCAGCCCAATTCACTGCTTTAGGTGGAGCATTCCACAATCCCACCTGGACCAATCTTCTAAACTGTTCCAATAACTTATACTGGCCTGGTTTGTTTGGGTCCCAGTTAGGTTTTTGCACTGGAAAGATTTTATCTGTGTCTCCCCTTAAAACATTTGTTGCAATCTGCCCTTCCACATGATTTCTTGATGCTTTTATTACTAGCTGTTTTCCTGTTTCTGTCAATTGTGAGAGAATCAAGTCAATATCTGACCAATCTCTGTCCTGATTTTTCACAATTAATTCAAATCTCTTACCCATCTTTTCAGGATTTTCCCTAAACAGTTTTGCTTCCTCCCTCCAGCTGTTCAAATCACTGGCTGAAAACGGCACTTTCACTTTTGTGACCACCCCTCCTTTTCCACCCTTCTCCCTGTTCCTCCCACTTTTCCATAGTCCCCTGCTATAATCTGCTTAAATATTGCAGAAAGAACTTCAGATTCAAATACTGCCTTAAGGAAAACTAAAACTTGCACAAATTATCTGTTGATACCAAAACCTGGTTTTTATTAATTGCTAAGAGGTGCAAAGAAAAAGGAAAAAATAAGAAAAGCTTGGAAACTGCTTCTAGAAGCAGAGAAAAGTTACCACCGGAAACTACCTTTTCTCACTGAGCTGGTCTGTGTGTAGGGGGGAAGAGAAGCAGTTTCTGCCTTTTTTTTTTCTCTGTCCCTGCAGCTTTTGGATGTTGTCTCTGTAGCTGCAGGGGCTCTGACAGCTTTAGTTCTCTGCAATGCACCAGGTGTGGTTTCACCGCTCACACCCCTGTCCCAGGCTGTGCAGGGTCTCAGCTCAGCCCAAGCTTTGGGCCCTCAGAAATATGGTCAGGGTAGAAGGATAAGGCAGAACTCCCACATGTGGCACGGTGGTCTCAGCTCTCTCCAGGCCGGCACAGTTCCAGTCTCTGGTGGCAGGCAGGCAGCACGCGGTGGCGGAGAAAAGGTGAGGGGAGGTGGGCAGAGATTGTCGGCTACAGTCACCAGTTCTTCTCCCTTTCCTCTCCCTGATTTCCCAGAATTTACCCTCAACTTTTATAGTGTTCAAAGGAGGTTGTACATGGTTTCTTGGCACGTAGCCAGTTCAGATGTTGGAGGAGATATGGTAACCATAAACAATAAAAGGGTCTTTTGGCAGGAAAAGTGCTGTAGGAAGTCCTGGTGAGAACTTCTGGCAGAGAGCTGACAGAGAATGTTTGACAGGAAGTTTTTGACAGGCAGAAACAATGGAGTAACATTTTTTGGTATTTCTGTATTATCTGTGTGTGTTACAGATGGTTGCCATAGTAACCGACCTTAGAGATGGGAATGTATGATGGTTGCCATGGTAACCCACATAACAGTGGGAATGCAGAATGGTTGCTATGCTAACCAAGATAACAGTAAGAATGCATAATGGTTGCCATGGTAACCGAGGTACAATGGGAATGCATTATGGTTGCCATGGGAAGTGACGTAACAATGAGATTGCGTAATGGTTGCCATGATAACTGACATAGCCATGAGAATGATTAATAGTTGCCATGGTAACCGAGGTATCAATGGGAATGCATTATGGTTGCCATGGTAACCAACATAACAATGAGATTGCATAATGGTTGCCATGGTAACTGACATAGCCATGAGAATGATTAATGGTCGCCATGGTAACCGAGGTAACAATGGGAATGCATAATGGTTGCCATGGTAACCGAGGTGACAATGGGAATGCATTATGGTTGCCATGGTAACCAACATAACAATGAGAATGCATAGTGGTTGCCATGGTAACCAACATAACAATGAGAATGCACAGTGGTTGCCATGCTGAGTAACATAACAATGGGAATGCAGAATGTCAGGGGGAGCTGTGTCCCAGCCGGGCTCTGGGGCTGGGGGTGAGGCAGCGGCCTGTGCTGGGTGTCAGGATGGGGGCTGACTGTTCC